ACCATAACCAGAAATTGCAGAAAACCCTGCAATTTCCCCAATGCGAAATCCGTCGACGCGAAGAACGCTTCGGGAAACTTCCAAGCCGGCACGCGTTAACGGCGACCGTAGCCGGCGAACATAGCCGTCTTTTATATGTCACTGATATGATAACGAGAGTTCGCTACCTCGTAGATACTGGCGCAGAGGTTAGCGTTCTCCCGGCGAATTCCAACGACAGGCTACACGAGCCTGTTTTAAATCTACAGGCGGCAGACGGAAAGCCTATCGCTACTTATGGCCAAAGGTATGTTTATCTTAACGTGGGTTTACGCAAACCCATTCACTGGATTTTTGTTGTTGCAGATGTTTCTATGCCAATCATTGGTATGGACCTTCTACAACACCACAACTTAATTATCGATACGCGCAAACGGAGGTTAGTTGACGGAAACACTAATTTATCTGTTTGCCTGACTTCTTTTTCTGGTTGCAGGTTATCCCCAGTCACTATTAAGCACACTATAGACCCCTTCTACCAACCACTACTCGATAAATATTCTGGCATTTACCAATCGCAACCGAAATTGCCGTGTGTAACCAGCAATGTTACACATCACATCACGACTACAGGACCACCTGAATTCTCGAAAGCACGCCGACTGGCCCCCGAAAAGTTAAGGTTGGCGAAAAACGAATTCGACCATATGATAAACTTAGGGATCATACGACCGTCAAATAGCCCATGGGCATCTCCGTTGCACATGGTCCCTAAAAAGGACAGCAACGATTGGCGTCCAACTGGTGACTATCGGAGATTGAATGCAAACACCATTCCCGATCGTTACCCGTTGCCCCACATTCACGATTTGACAGCTACCTTGAAAGGTGCAACTGTCTTTTCAAAAATTGACTTGGTAAAAGCTTATAACCAAATTCCTATGGCCACTGAAGACATTCCAAAAACCGCTATTATAACGCCCTTCGGACTCTATGAATTTTTGCGAATGCCTTTCGGTCTGAGAAACGCGGCACAGACTTTCCAAAGGTTCATAGATGACGTTTTTCGAGGTCTCAACTTCGTACATGCATACGTTGATGACTGTCTAATAGCAAGTCCGGACAGAGAATCACATCTCCAGCATCTGGACATTGTTTTCGACCGACTACAAAAGCATGGCATTACCGTTAACATTCAGAAATGCCAAATCGGAACCGAATCCTTAGACTTCTTAGGACACACTATAGATGCGCATGGCATTCGACCCCTTAGAACGAAAGTAGCGGCCATTCTGGATTACCCAGAACCGACCACCATCAAGCAATTGCGCACGTTTAACGGTCTGGTAAGTTTTTATAGACGATTCATACCGAAATGCGCGTTACTTATGAAACCCCTTACTGACCAACTTCGTGGAAATGCGAAATCCATTAATCTAGATGACACTACCCGAAAAGCATTCTCCACGGTTAAGGAACATATCGCCCGAGCAGCAATGCTTGCTCATCAGGACCCTAAAGCGCCCATTAGCATCTCAGTAGACGCATTCGACTCAGCAATCGGAGCAGTCTTACAACAATGGGTTAACCACTCCTGGCAACCTTTGGCATTTTTCTCTAGACGGTTGCTAGACACTGAGTCGAGGTACAGCACATTCGGTAGGGAACTCCTAGCTATGTATTGTGCTGTCCGGCATTTTCAACACTATATCGAAGGCCGTGAATTTATCATTTTTACCGACCATAAACCACTTACGTTCTCCTTAAGCTCTTCTTCGAACAAGTACTCACCACGTGAGTCTCGACAACTGGAGTACATTTCGCAGTTTACTTCAGATATTCGACACATTTCTGGAGCAAACAATGTAGTCGCAGACGCCTTGTCTCGAATAAATTCCTTGAACAGTCCCCAAGGAATCGACCTTTTAAAACTCGCCCAACTTCAAAAAGAAGACAGTGATCTTCAGCACGAGTTGGCCTCAACAACACTTAAACTGCGCATTAAACAGATGGGAACAGGTAAGGAAACCTTACTTTGTGACACATCTACAGGTAGGGATCGCCCAATCGTGCCGAAACAATATCGACGCAACGTCTTCGATACGTTGCACAGACTTTCTCATCCAGGTGTTCGTGCAACCATCAAGCTTATAGCAGAACGGTTTTGCTGGCCTGGTATGAATAAAGATGTGAGGGAGTGGGCACGTTCCTGTGTAAGCTGCCAGAAATCTAAGGTTATTAGGCATAACAAATGTCCCTTAGGCTCGTTTAAAACTCCCGATGCTCGCTTCGATCATGTTCATTTGGATTTGGTAGGACCTTTACCAGATTCAAATGGATATTCTTATCTTTTAACATGCGTAGACCGTTTTACTCGATGGCCAGGAGCAGTACCCATCAGAGATATTACTGCTGAAACAGTGGCTCGCGCCTTCGTCGAGAGGTGGGTAGCAAACTTCGGCTGCCCAACAACCATTACTACAGACCGTGGACGTCAGTTTGAATCTGAACTGTTCCGTTGTCTTACCATGAAACTAGGAATCACTCGCTTTCGAACGACGGCCTACCACCCACAAGCAAACGGGTTAGTAGAACGTTTTCACCGACAACTAAAAGCGTCACTATCAGCCTCAAACATTTCTCAGTGGACTGACGCCCTTCCACTCGTCTTACTAGGCATACGCAATGCAGTGAAATCTGACATTGGATACACTGCATCTCAACTCGTTTATGGTACGACCCTTCGACTTCCAGGAGAGTTCATGGATCCTTCATCCTCTTCGATGGACATGGATCTAACCTCCTACGCTAACAGGCTTACAAACACAATGCGTTCAGTTAAACCTGTTTCCACTCGACCACAATCAACTGATGTTTTCGTTCAACCTGACTTACTACATAGTACACACGTTTTCGTGCGTCGAGACTCGCATCGACGACCTCTCGAATCAACATATGAAGGACCTTTCAAAGTTCTTCAACGCGAATCTAAGTACTATATAATAGATAAGAACGGAACCAACGAAAGCATCAGCATCGATCGCCTCAAAGCAGCGTATTTAGAAGGAAATCCTATTCACGTCGATTTTCCTTCAATACAATCGCACGACACAACTCCTGCGCTTATAATGCCTCAATCGACAGCAGACACACACGTTGATACTGCGACGGTATCCGAAAATAAACTCAAAACAACGCGTTCTGGAAGAAGATTAAGATTTCCAGAACACTTGAACGATTACTGCACGTAAGATACAAGTTAACATTTTACATCCTCTCGAATTTCCCTTTGTACTACATATAATTTTTTTTTAAAAAAAACCTGAATTTAATATGCTTATATATGATTTTTTTTATTTCAAAAAAAACAAACAAAAAAACAACGATATTATAAAAATCTTATTTTACGCTACTACGTGAGCATGAGTTTGTTTTCCTTCTTCTTCGCCCGTTTTGTGTTTTCACGCGCGTACGAGTGTATTCCGACATGCACTTACATATTTTTCTTTTCTTTTCCAGGACGACTGGAAAAGAACGATGAAGTTGCGAAAAACGAAAATCTGCATTGTACCTTTTTTTACTATATTGTACATCATGATCCATTATAGTAAGGAAAGACGACCAGACGCTGCTAAACCTAGCAAGCTATCAGAAGAGTGTTTACCAACGAAAATCTCGTTGGGTTTAAACTTCTGGCTGGCCACGTCTTAGGGTCATCACTACCCCACTAGGGGGGGAGTGATCTGTAGCGGTAAATAATTCCCCAAAATCAAATAGCTCTGTAAGTTTCCGACATTGGATGCTGACCATAGTTTTAGTGGACTCATCTAGCGGAAGGCGCTCGGTCAAGCATCCGCACCAGATCACGTGTGGGAACGCCGTGCTCAACATCTGCCTCAATCGCTAGCCAGATTAGTTCCAACGATCCTCGATATATTGATAGCTTATCAAATATATCTTCGATCTCCTCGCTTCTGTCTTTTGATTTTACTTGGTGGGTGCGCTTCGTATTAGAAGGTGTTACTGGTTAAAGCGTTGTCAAACTCCGAATACCTGTGGCATCTTCAAGATCAACTCTTTACAACCAACCTAATTTGTTACAGACTCACTTCCATGTCACTTGAACGGACACAATAAGGAAATTGATCGTTACCTATGATGATTACAATTTCGGATAATCTAGGGAGAAAAATCTGACTCCGTACGCAACTGAGATGGCTCAGTTGAGACAAAAATGGATGCTGGTTGTAGTCCATTAGTATAAATGTGTCAGTATTTTTATGGAAATCTCACCGGTTAACAGGTACGTATCCACTTAATATCTAGTTCTTTCGAATTAGAACTCGTGTAACCCAATAACCCGTCGACCGCACAGGCGGAAAGACAGGCTATTTTGAACGAAGTTATTTTGTACTAAACGCTATTCTCATGCTTGCAGTATCAGAGTTTTGAAGCAGAGTCAGTAACGAACACTTGCTCCAATAGACTAGTTAAGCTGGAAGACTGTATGAAAAATTCATCTGTAAAAATCAAACGGGGGATTGTATGCAACATAGACTTATCAATTTACTATCAAGGATGCATACATTTGAGAAGCAGAATGTCTTAGAGGCTGAGTCAGGACATGAGTAATTCGGTGAAAATTTGACACGCTACAACCGCTGTTAATCACACCTCAGGGGAACAAAACAGCAGTGATACATGCGAATGACACTTTAAAGCCAAAAATAATTATTGTTTTCTTACTAGCCATCCAAAATACAATGCATGGGAAAACTAAGCTTGGAACTAGTAATTATGAAATCTGCGGAACGGTTGATAATAAGTCATCATTATAAAAAAATATAATAATATAATATAATAACAATATAATAATATATATAATAATCCTGGTTGAACCATCACTGTGATAAGAAAATGTGGTGAAAATATTTTTCTTTTTGGATAACATTGGGAATTGAACAGTTTTGTTTAATCCGCCGGGCGGGACGTAACACTATTTTTCTAGTCACACCGGGATTATGACAGACGCTGGGTTCTTCAAGGTTTTTCCTTTTCAGCTTTCTAATTGTTTCTATCGGTGTTTAGGGTACAAGTGCTGAGCAAGATGCCAGGTTCGCTGATAAGAAGAAAAAGTTGATGAAAACTATGAAATTCGGAGAAAACTTGGCTCAAAAGGCATGAGCTCTACTTGTCATTTATTTTCAGGTTGACATGTCCAAAATTAATTTGGAGTCTATAAGACCATGGATTGTTAAGCGTATAACAGAGCTTTTAAACTTTGAGGACGAGGTGGTCTGTGACTACATTTTCAACCAACTGGAGGAGCGCGTGAGTTTGCTTACTTTTTTCGTTGTTGACACTGGTTTCACTTTTTGGTTAGACTAGATCAGGGTCTAGATATAATCATGGCTTACCCCCGTTCGATGAATGATTTTGTCTGATGACTCTGTGTCATTGAAAATGGTTACTTAAATAATCAATGTAGTGTTCGTCTTGATCAACCTTCCATCTGTGTAGTTTTTTAGTGAAAGTCCTGAGTTTCTCCTCGACATCTGCTTTTAGTCCAGGTTTTTTCGTCCAGAAGCCGAAAGTGTAGGTTATTTTACTCATAAAACACTTACCGGGAGCTTGCTTTCACCAGTGTTGGTCACTTCGAATTTCGTGTATAAAAGCCACCTACAAACAAGTTGCAAACATGCAGTGGGATATTTTACTGTTTACTAGACATGTCTGAACTCTGGGATACGTCTATTTACGAAGTTAGTTTTCAAATTTTCTTTGTTAGCTTTGTTACCTGTTGAAGGTTACGCATGTAATAGTCAAGATATATGGTTGTCAGAAACGTAAGAACGGCACAGATGTGCATTGAACTAGTTTACTATACCGAGTCAGCGCACTGATACGATTAGAGCTTATTGTATGCGCATTCTGAATGAGGGCAAATAATCAGTACTTTAAACTGGAAACGTTGAACTGAAATGTTACTTGTCATGCCTCATTCTGTTCTTAAGGCATAAGTAGATCAGTAAGCTTTCGATACGGACATTTTTCTGAGTAATAAAAGTACGCATGTGTGGAAGCTGACTTATTAGTTGTTTGCTGTACGTCGAAACTGAGGGAAATTCACACTAAATAAAAAGGATCCAGAACATTGCATTCTTTGTACATTGTTTGTATGTTATCGTGTTATTTCCCAACCAGTTTTCAGTGTTTTAATTCCCTATATGAATACAGCTTGTTCGGGGTTTACAATGCTGAGTATTACATTTATGCCGGTGTATGCCATCAGTCAGTCAGCTGCAACGTAGGACCAGGCATATATGTGCATCGGTTCAGGTTGCCATACCGCATTAGCACAACAAGATGAACACCAAATTCATCGAAGTAGTTAATTCAGCGGTGGTAATATATCAGAGTCCATAGTGCTAACCGCTACACCACGAAAAAGAAAGGTTGCATATAAGGAGATAGTACAGAAAGAAAGAATTAGTTCGTAGAAAGAAAGATATGAAGTGATTTTAATCTCTTAGTTTGAAGGAAGAGTGTATACACCTACGCCAATGTGATCAATTCTGAGCCATGTCACCAAGAGTCTCCAACCATTGGTTACGATAGTCTCGCGGACCCCAACCAAGTAGTCTGCATCTATCAACATGGCTCAGACCAGAAGTTAGTGACCTCAAGCATTGATGCCACGTTTTGGTTTGGCCACGCCTAACTTTCTTTCAACCATACCTAACGACATTTACATTTATTTATATTAACACATAGATATTGGTACAAGGAGGTACCAAATACATATGCGCCGCACAGATCTCATTTGATATGTGTTAGGGCTGTTATACTGACCGGGTGCCCAAACCGAAGCAGGTGGTTTTCTTAGAGGGTCACACCCCGAGCCTTCGACTTGAAAATCTGATCCACAAGGCAGTGGATCATCGTAAGGAGATGCAGTCCCATGGTAGCCGGTGACCAAAGATTGGTTCAAACGCCATTTGTTCCCTCAGGATCCTGGAGCCCATGTGTACCATTGGTTTGGTATCCGGTCAAAGCGCTGGACATTCGCTTTTCGTTCTCTCATTTTCGTAAAGAACGCCCCCGCCACGAGAAGGCAGTGAGTAGGACCTAAAACCGGTTAGCATTGCACGTCGTGGTAATCTGTGTTCAGGCATACGCAACACGTGGCCCAACCATCTCAGTCGATGAAGATTCACAACCTCACCAACTGATTTACCGTCATTCCCTAATACTCTGCGTCTAACCCCACTATTACTTACACGGCGATCCCAGAAGATGTGAGCAATATTTCTTAGGCATCTGTTGTCAAATACTAGTAGCTTACGAGTATCTTCGACTCTTAATGACCATGTTTCGCAGCCGTAAAGTAAAACAGAGCGAATTACCTCGCAATATTACTTACTTACGCCTGTTACTCCCAATGGAGCATAGGCCGACCGCGCAATATACTCGTCCCTTATTTGATAAACGGATATCTCAACTTCGCCATGGAATTTTGTGTTCATCGTTTCCAATTGCTGCTTTTATTCTACACACCCAAAATTAAATTCGTGGCTATTCTGTCGTTCATATGCTTGCATCTCCGCAGAAAATCTGATTTCAAAGCAGCTATTCTTGTTACTGGCGCTTAGCATTTTGTAGTAACTTCACTTTTTCTAACATCTGAAATTAGGTTTTTACATATTTTAGTCATCCACCACAAGTATTTTAGCGTGTCAGTTGAAAAATAGTGTTATGAATAGATTTTAACGTAGTTGGGATTTATTAACTTACGAAATATAAACCAGTTAATACTGTATTTTTCCATTTTTAAATTAACTTATAATAATGATCATTTTTTCCAATTTTAAAGTTGGTTTCGATTAAATTTTCAGGTCTTTTGGGATGCACATCGACAAACAATGGTGGAACTCAGGTCTCCTGCGACGCACTGAGTGCGCTGCCGGTACACATTTGAGCTTGTCTGAAAATCTATTAATTTAATAATTAATTCTCATTGTCAGTTAATTGGGTATTCGCTTCCCCAACTTATGTGTTATTTTCTGTTCCTTCTAGCATCCAGACCCAAAGGAGATCCAGATTAATATAACGGGATTTTTAAACAGCAAAAATGCGAGGGTGTTTTTGTCCGAACTGTGGGATTTATTGTTATCTGCCATGCAGACACCAGATGGCGTTCCTGCAGCTTTTCTGGAGGCCAAGAAAGAAGAGATCGCAAAGCGTCAGGTAATCTTTCGGTTAAGAACTTGACAAAGTCTTTACTTGATCATGTGCTAAACTACTATTTCATTGACCATCAAAATTTACTCTAAATATAAATTCGGTCATTTTACTTAAGTATTACTATTATTGGTCGAAAACGTTGAACTATCTAACTCGGCGAAAACGGCGCCCATCAAGATAAACACAGGTTCACCAACCTACTATCTTTATTACTGAAGACTGTATTAAGGCTCTAATTGCACGTTCATATAGGTTATGTGTCGATAATAACCGCTTAAATCCTCTGTTTACTTAGTAAAATTAATTTCCCAACTAATTACAGTGCACAGTTGACACTCTCCTGGTATTGTCCTGCCATCACTCCTATCACAATGGTTTATTTGGGAGTTTACTGTTCTGGATTCCATCGAATTCTAGGTGACTAAGGTGTTCGACTTCTGGTAACTAAGTAGGAGGTCTGAACCTTGCTTCAACCCTGCGGCCCATAGCCAGGTGTATAAATTTGTGCCCGGTAAATGAGTTGCTCAGGCTTCAAGAATAAAACTGATATCTTAAAAACCTGTCATCTTAGTTACCGTAAGACAATCATATTTTTTGGAAACATTCCATCTTTCAAATCAAAAACAGCGATCGATATTTCCTGTTGTGACTTCTAACTGGTGGATCTAGCATGTCTCTTTTTGACAGCACCAGCTTCGATGTAAATAAAACTGTCATTTTGGAGAATTGTCAACAGCCGCGATCTGCCTTATCATATTTGCTTATGAACATATCTACCATCTATTAATTACAAGACCGATACAATGGGTCTTGAACCTAAAGGCTCACAAATTACACTATGAGTTATCTGGTTTATGTTAACGTCAGAAAAAATAGATGTCAATATTTGATCTTATCGTTTCATTAGTCATCTTACGAATGAGTTATTAATAAATGCTATTTCATTTTTTTCTCAGGAGGATGAAAAGTTTGTTCTCGAAATGAGAAGGAGGGAAAATGAGCTAATTCAGAAAGGAACTAATCGAACGTCTAACATGAGTTCTGAACAAATAGATAATCAGAAGCGCGTTTCGTCTGTCAAAAGCAATGGAGTAGCAGAATCTGAAGAGCAGGAAAGTATGCACTTTTGTGGTAGTTGTCCATTTGAGACTTTCAGTATACAGATGTAATGAGACATGGAAAAATATTATCATCTAAAGATTTACATTATCAACTGTCAATCACATCATCTCATGTTTAAAGCTTTCAGTTTACAAACAATAGGTTACAATTTCTTTGACCTTGGGGCATCTACGCTGCTTGAAGAGCCAAGTCTAACTTACAAAAGTGTTTCTGGAAACAGATACGTAAACACGTAAATTGTAAGGTTCACTGCACGGTTCTATCCTTTCAAGTGGTCCTATTGTCAACAATCCGTCAGTCATCAGTTAGGACTAGTTTAGAGCTCGACACGAATGTGCGTTAGCCCAAGTTGGCATGTTACGTTGGTACGGTGTGACTAAATTTACAAGATAAATAGCGAAGGAATCAAGGTATTGTAGTGGCAGACATAATGATAATGACTAAGGATTGATATTGCTCAAAAGGACAATATATAAGGAAATACTGGAACTTAATTCGTAGGTTAAAATAAAGGATAAATACATCTACATTTTAACTGATTGTGAATCACATCAAACAACAACTTTGATCAATGAAGTGGTTGGTGCACTCAATTACCTCACTTCATATCGTTAGTTAAGGTGTTGACTTTGTATACGAATATATATTTATTCGGAGCCTTAGTAAGAAAGCATAGGTGTAAAAGATGTCAATGAAAATGATCAAAATTGTCATGATCTCTCTCCATATGGTAATCATTTGGATCCTAACAACTTCTGTGTAATGTAATCATAATAGTTAAATTCTGCTTTCTTTACGTGTTTTTCAATAATCCAGATATTACGATATCTATCTCAATATTTTATACGATTTTATCTGATCGTCAGTGTACGAATCTACCTCAGAGCCGATTGGTTTAGATCAAAGAATCTATTCGACTTCGTCAAATGAGCTGGTCTACCAAACTTTATTGATGGTTTATTAACCTATTTGTTGTGCTCTGGAGTTAATAATTTTAATTTAAATTAGTGAAACAGCTAGAAATTTAAGTTCATTTAAAACTTGACACCACACACTGACTGGTAGCATATCTTGTTACATTGTAACATTAATTTCAGAAACAACTAATTATATTCTTAGTAGTTTTGAACTAAAATTGCTAACATGACATCTAAATGACAAAAAGACTCATCAGTCTTATAAATCAAACATCTACATCTTCGAATGATATATAAACACGAAGTTTACCGAAAAGATCCCTTTTTGACGAATTTATTATCAATCTGTACAGTCATATATATACAGCTGGCAGTCACGCATTACATGCATATCACTAGTGCAAAGGTTTTTCGCCCCGCACTTTATAACACACAAATAGATATATGCACTCCTTCAGTAAAGGTTGATAGTCGTCTCTCAGTATTTGCTGCCATATTTTTTATTATGTTTTCAATTTGAAGGATTATGCCAGTGATTTTATTAAACATATGGCAGACATTTTTTCAGCTTACGTTCCTTGTGCTAACCTTCTCCCGTACCCTTTTCATTTACCTATATACATAAGCCAAACAAGTCGAGACTCATGCAGTTTATGTACATAAGCATACACATTGAGCAGCATGCGAGAATTTAGTCCCAGAAAGTGGAATTCAATTCATTCGGCTTACAACGGAATAGTGGATTAATCCGATCTCATTGATCGCCCAAACTAGCTAGCAAAGTTTCCCTCACTACCTGACCACAACGTGGAGGCTTTAAGTCGGATTTAGCTGTCTAGCTACGGGCAGTGCTTTTTTCACTCTGAAAACACATGTGACTTTCATTTATTTTCCCGGCATGCTTAGTTGATGCTATGAAGATTAAAGTATACTCATCAGAATCATCGTATTTATTTTGCCAGCTTTTACCAATCGCAACCGTTCCACTTCACGAACAGCATCACCAGCCCCTCAACCACCTACAGCTACTACAGAAAGTCGTGAGAAACTCGTAAGTATTTTATTGTCAAACTATAGCTTTTCCATTTATTTGTTTTTTTTTAAATCTTAACTAGATCTATAAGTACTATTATTTTCATATTCAGGTAGTATTGCAACCTTTCACGTCATACCACTTTATGTTATGTCGACTTATAGCTGCTTGCAATTGTTCCAACGCATTATTATTGACAGTCTGATAACGTTTGCTGGCACTTCACGTTATGGTGCAACTTTTAATGATTAGTTTAATCTACAAACACGCTTAACGTCTTTTGATGACTGAAATTTTAGGATGGAGCAACTAGTCGAACTGCTCATCGAGATGAAACGAGTTCATCGCGTTCCCCTGAACAACACCATCGCCGTCGTCATCATCGCCACTCTCCTGAGAAATGTCCGGTCGACACAAGACGCCGTAGATCACATTCACGCTCTCGTCATCGTCGTCAGCGTTCCAAATCCCGTTCCAAACAGGTGCAAAAGCCGTAAGTGATACTAAATGCAAATTTAATGAATATATTTCTTAAATTCACTCTTTATGTTAAAATTGTGTCAAAATTTGTTATATCTGTTTAGTCTTGTTAACAGGTCCAGCAAGTTTTGCGTCCCCCATCTAGAAATTTATCTGGTACATTACTGATAATACTTTTTTCTTTTAAATAGGAAATCACCTGTCACTGACTGGAGAAAAGACTTGATGGCCGGTAGACGTCGCAGTCCACCGGAAATGCCTGAGAGTAGTTATTATGGGAACGAAAAACGTTCAAAAGGCCATAAGCATTCCAAAAAGCATGATAAACAAAGACATGGTAACAGTCATTCGCACAAATCTCACAAACGGTCTCCGTCTCACAACACAGACTATTATCGATCTCGCAAGCATACTCATAATTCTGGATCCCGACACCATAACATGGTCGAAGTTAACGAGAGAGATCAAAGATCAGGTTATTTAGAACAATCAAGAAAAGATGGTTTTGCTGAAAACTACAGAAAATATGAAGGTCCTGACCTACCTTCTCATTATGATTACCGTTCGTCTAGTAGATACAGACATGATGTTGAATCACACGGTCGCAACGCAAGTCCAGAACCAAGCCGCGCGCGCGATAGAGAATCTGATTGGCATCTCAGAGATCATGATCACCGACATAGTCACCATCCTGGTCATATAAAAAGAAGAGAAACCTCATCTGGACACGAAAATTTATCCTTGGAAAGACGCCAATATCACCGTTTGCCGAGTCCTGAAGGACCGTCATTGCCCCCACATATTTCTAAAAGACCTTCAGATTCCAGGATAATCGAAGGTCAGCTAGTATTTTTTGTCAATGTTATGGTGAATATAATACATTTCGCTCATTCGTTTTCAATATTATCTAAGTTTTGTCTCAGTTGCATATAAAGTTGTTTGAAGTGAAGTTTACTGATAATAAAAACCTGCTGTAGATAATCCAGTTAACTTCGTAAGGTGATTTCAGCGTTCCAAGGCACATTTACCGTGATAAATAGTAATATGACCGTTAATATTACAGCGTTCCTGCACGTTGTGATGGGTTGGCTCCAGTTTTAATGATTAGGGTGACTAATATTTTAGCTAAAATCTGCTAACTGAATGTAATCCCATCTAACTGGTCGTCATCACCGATTGTTCCAATATATAAGAAGGGGTCTAAATCACCCTGTGATAACTATAGAGGGGTCATTTTGACTAATATCAGTCAGTCAACTACAACGTAGGACCAGGCGCATATATGCATCTGTCCAAGTTGCCATACCTCATTAGCACAACAGGATGAACACCAAATTCACAGAAGTAGTTGCTTCAATAGTAGTGATATCTAAAAGTAGGATTGTGTATAAGGATATGATACAGGGGGAAAGAAAGGTATAAAGCTATTTTAATCTCAAGGTTTAAGAGAAGATAGAGTGTATTCACTTACGCGATTGTGGTTGATTCTGAGCCATGTCACCTAGAACCTCAAACCATTGGTTACAACAGTCACGTGGACCTCAACCAAATAGTCTGCGTCTACCAACATGGCTAAAAGTTAATGACTTTGTGGATTGATGCCATGTTTTGGTTTGGCCACTTCTAACCATCTCCAACACTGGTCAGCACTTCGCGTCGTGGTAATCGGTGTTCAGGCATATGCAACACGTGGCATGGCCCAACTATCTTAGTCAATGAACATTTACAACCTTATCAACTGATTTACTATCATTTCCTAATACCCTGAGTCTGACCTCACTTGAACCGATACATATATATGCGCCTGGTTCTACGTTGTAGCCAACTGACTGGTATGGTACTAACTCAAAAACAAGTTTTGTAAGATCTAGGGAATGAGCTGTTTATCAGTATTCGCTAAAGTGCACTATTTTACACAATAATTGTTGCAAACGATTTACCTTCAGGATAACAGGATTTCCTCCTGGGTTTGTTGAATTTCCTATGACTGGGAGTAGAGAAAAATAGGTTAATCGTCTATTCTGCATTTTCATCATCAGAATGTGGCACCTGTTTGAAAGATGGGAAGCTCATTTTATCCATAATATTATGTAGATCCATCGTTCCGAATGCGAAAACTAACTGTATATCAGGTAAACACACACAATACCGATTTATCAGATATGGATTTCACTACATTGAAGATGCATTGGTTCTTCATTTGATGTCGGTTTGTGATGAAAAATTACTTCGGAAGTACAATTGTCCACGTAATCCTTAGTTAAACATTAATTGAATGCTTACTAATGACTATCGTTAGAGATTCAAATGATCCAAGTAACAGGACTTACAGATCAATATGGTATCATAGTTTAATAATTTTCAAGTTGTTTAATTTTCTTTAATTAAAGTTGCAATTTAACTTCCCTAACTTTGTTGTTTGCTTCCAGGAGTCCCCAGTAAGCGTACAAAACGTGAGGCATCTGCTTCGTCAAGCAGCTCATCAACCAGCAGCAGCAGCAGCTCTAGTAGTAGTGGTAGTAGTAGTAATAGTAGTAGTAGTGGAAGCTCCAGTAGCAACGAAAGCGAAAGCGAAGAAAATGTAGAAGAATCTAAAAAGTCACAAATTGAAATCTCAAAGAAAGAACCCACCCCTGAAGGTCCTGCTCTCCCTCCAGAGCTGGAGGTATCTCAACCTGAAGGTCCTGCTCTTCCTCCCGATGTTGAACTCGCCGTAGAGTGGTCGGAAAACCCAGCCTGTTCTGGATCTACATCCCCAAGTTCGACAACTTCAGGATCTTCCACTGGTGACGAACACAGTGAGGAATCGGGATCAAGTTCAAGTGATAGTGACAGTGGCAGCAGTAGTGGTAGTGGTACCGGTAGTAGCAGTAGCAGTGAAAGTGATAATGAAACCAACACGAAACCTCATAAATCTGAAAGAAACGGTAAACACCCTAAAAGTCTTGGAAATCATATGTCTCCTGAAGGTCCTGCTTTACCTCCTACCTCTAGCTCTAATTCACATAAGGTATATGCTCATCCTACCTAGTTGTTGCATTTTCTGTTATCATTATTATTATTCCTTATTTTTCAAAATTTTGTTTCATAACGGGTTTACTTGAAGGCTGATGTGTATTTTCAAAATTTTCCGTTTCAGAATGTTGATAACATCTACACTTTTGTAGCACATGCACGTTGTGTAGTGCGAAAACTCTAATATCATTAATGTAGTTTGGTTAAAAATTGAATAAAAACACTTTGATATTGATCCTTTACTGGTTCATCGACGGTTTTATTATTGTATCAGTTTATTTCCGATAGTGATCTAAATCCCGCTCTTTTGGTGTCTGGCATTGTGAAGAAACAATTAAGCATTAATTCACTGTTGGATACTCTCATGAGTGGGTGGGATCACATGATAAGAATTGTACGTGGTTGTTATGCTTTACGTTTTCTTTAAGTCCTATTATTCATAATCAAGACTTGTGACATCTATAGAAGCTTGAGCTGTTGTTGCAGTAATCCTGGGCACCTTAAATATTTATGGAAATTCGGATCACTACATGTTCATGTTGACATCGTTTCAGGACTCCTTTTAAAAATATAGAGTCGTCTAGCTGTTATTAAATCATAGGTTAATTGTTCATCTTAGTTGTTTAATGCAGGCATCCTTGTAATCTATTAATCTAGTTGCTTGAATTATAGCCCTACTGACTATCCTTTCAGGACAACTTGATCTAGTACGTATATGCAATTGGTGTGTTACGTATATTTAGTTTACGCCTTTTGCTCCAGCGCCATTGCAAAAAGTTAGTCAAAGAAAGAATAACAAGACTCGCAGAATAAAATGAATTTATTTTATATCAACTGCCAGCAGGCTTTGATATTCATCGAATTTCATGCCTTCTGCTTTCTTGCAGTTTACCAGTCGGACAAGTTGTATAGATTTAAAACATCGACAACATTCTCTGTCCACTCAGTCATAACGTAGTACTTTCAAAAAGTTTGCCCACATCAAATTAGGATAATTAGATAAAAATAAAAATATGGACAGCTGAAAGTAATAATAATATTATCAGTGATTGTAGAAAACTAAGCAAAGAAAATGACTCACGAAGAAAGAATTGGTTCACGGAGTAAAATTTTCCATAATATTGAAACTCATCAATCATTTGTAGGAAAGGAATACATGCGATTGCTCCCCTTACCTGATCTTAGCTTTCTTCCAATCAAGACTGCATGTTGGAGTAGGCGTAATACGTGTCAGCTAAATCTATCAGTGAAGATTCACTGCTTCATCTATCGACTGGGTCAATAAAATACTTCTAACCTCAGCATTAGTCACTCGGTTCTACTGTATGCAATCATTGCTTGAAAGACTTCTTGTACGTCTCCCATTTTCACAGACCATGTTTCACAGCAATACAGAGCAGACATCCTCACACCGCAAGTAACCTGAAATAGCAAAAGCCTTGTAACTTTTCTGAATCCGTGCAAAGATTTCATCATGTACAAAACCACCAGAGTCAATGAGACCAAGATATGTGGGTTGGTTGACACACCCAACTACTTTACTCTCTATCATTAGTTCATGTTGGCGCAAACCATAGAGCAACGTTTTGAATTAAGTAGGGGAGGAATGTATTTCGAACGAGCGTAAATTGTTTCTAAAGCCATTTAAAAGACTGCAGTCTTAGTATCTTCACTAAACAGGGCTATGTCTTCTACGTACTCTATGTAGGCAAATGAGTTCACAGAAGAATGTGATTCTTAGGGTGATATCTATGACAAAAACGGAGATAATGAGCACCTGTAACGAAGATCAACTTAAGTTGACGATTCCGACAATAGTTGGACGTGAGCGTTGACTCGACCAATATTGCTTATATAAAGGGCTTTTACAAATTTTATATACTTTAGCACACGTTTTAACGACGAACCGAGTGGTCTGGCACTCTGATTTGTTTTAAGGAAGTTTTCAAGGCTCTCCGTATACCTTTGAGCTCCTAACTTTTACGCTAAAATTCGTATTTTAGACTACTTTAAGCATTGATAAAACTACAACCAACTTAAGCATTCTTCGTATTCCTATCTTCGAGGTAAACATAGGGAAACTTGTCAGCTGCCTACTTTCTGATACTTACAAAAGATAGATTTATCTGTATAAGCGTCAATTCATGATCCATTTAATAGTTTGGAAATTATCCGAAACCTGAATAAGAATAACACTTGCTTTATAGTAACCATCTTTTATATTCTATTTTGTGAAAGTTAATTTTTTACTTTTTTATGTAGAAGATTGACCCACATGAATCAGTTGAAGAGGTTTTACGTCGACGTGCTTTGGAGTCTTTACTTCGGAGCTCACAAAAACGCCGTGGTTCTCTTGAAATGGAATGAGTCGATTTCCATTGATTTGTGGATTAAATTTTTACAATATTTTCCTCTTTTTTCATTATTTAAGATAACACATACTTTTGCCGGTTTAAATAAATAGGAAATAAATGTAAACAAAAATGTGTGTCATTTTCCTAAAAATTCTTCAATATAATCAACTCTCTTCCACAATAAACCAGTGTATTGTCAGTTGTCGAATTCCCTTAAACCCCCTTTTGTGTATAGACACTCTAAAAATTCATAAATTATGTTTGTTGATATGAATGTTAAATTGTATTTTCTTTTTTGGAAGAATTGCATGTCTTAATTATACTGGGTTTTATAATATCCAATGTTTATATAATTAAACAAAGTGAAAATCTACTCTTTCATGATCAGCATTATATATCTATATTGTAAGCATGGTAACAAACAAAGTTATTTGCCATTTTTTTCTCTTCTTAATCTATTTAAAATTTATCAAGAAAGCGTATTTCATCGAATTTCTACTTATAAAGTAGTTTATTTCCGTTATATGAAGTAAAACGATCAATTTCAAAATAACTGTTGGTTTAGGAGACTAGATAGATCTTTTAAAATTTATGGCAACTTGGACCGATGCATATGCATGCCTGGTCCTACGTTGCAGGTGACTGACTGACTAGGAAGAACAGTTACTTCATATGTGAAACCGTCTTACCCACATCTGTTTGAGCAGTCAGATAGTATCACTAAACTTTAAAGCTGAATTCACAAATCTGTACTTGCTACAGATCTTTGAACTCGAAATGTGGGTGTTCAAGATATTCGTAATACATGGTAAGCGTGGCTTCTAAGGTTTCACCTTTTATCACCGTATAAAGACTTGGTTGGTGTTCTATACCTACTTTTCTAGGATACGACAGTACACACCAGAAAATCAGAGAACGTTAATTTTTGGAGTAGGGTCTAATTAACTTTCATAATGTAATTCCTTGAATTCAGGTTTAAGTAGGGCACAACTCTTGTGTGATGGCTCGCTACACTAACCGGTTGTCAAAACTGAAGGCTGAGCGGGTCTCAAACCCCGCTTTAACTACTTAGTGACCGTTCTTAACTTTTCTGATTACATTATAAGCAGTTCAATAAATACGGATAATAGCCTAATAATGTACAAATAAACTTTTCGCCATGACAATCACAAACCCGATTAAAATATCTCTCAGTATTTGTTCTGAAAGCCTGAACTTTAAGGACCAATGTGAGAAGCATCTATTGTGTTGTACTTTTCCTCATTGAGTAAACCAGCATTGGGATAATTTGACCCTCAGGTGAATAAAATATAATACACATAAGATGGTTTTTGGTTCATAAAAGCCATTGAGCATCTTTAGACATCTCTCGAAACTTGTATAGGTTGCCATTTCGTGATGTCATTAGAAACGGTCTTATCAGCTAACTGAATGAGTCGTAGTGTAAGACCGGTAACAAGTGTGTATCGGTTCAACTTGCTATAACCCACATCGCCATTGCATTTGAAGGAATTATTAAAGTGCAAGGTGAGAGGATTTAATTTCAATCGCAAAGTAGATTGAAACAGCAGTGGTACCATCAATAAAGGATTAGTGAGGTCGAACCAAATAAGAAGTCTGCACCATTCAACATGGCTTATCTCAGTCTGACAATCACAACTATTTAACGATGTTCTACAGTCTTCTAAGAACGCTTATAACTATTAATCCTAGAACACGTACCAGTCGTATTGCTTCGAAATCTCTACTCATCATCTGGTTCATTGAAATGACATGAATGAACTCAAGTTTACACATTCTCAAATTTCTATGTAATGCTGAGCAACAGATGTAATAATAACACTATTTTTAGAATTCTATAAATAACATACTTTTAATAATATTGATTTATTCCTGATGTGTAAACTAATTGGTCAAGTGTCTTTTGTCTAGTTGAGAGCACATTAGATAAAACGACATGTCAATAATGTTCTTGTTCTTTCTCTCATACAAAAAAACATTAATCAATAATTGTATTCAATCAGAGTATTTTATAGATGGAAAAGAAGATATGATTTAGTTTCTGTAATAACATGTTTTAAATGAAAATAGACATGCTTAATGTGATAACCATATTTCACTGTATGTTTTATATATTTGTATATTCAAAGATAACTTTATGCATGCAATGTGGATTATATAAAAGTCGTTCAGATTTAGTTTTTAACTGTAAATAATCATTCTGTTTAGCATCATGTTTGAAAGTAGTCTACAATAAAATTACTTGGTAGTTATTTCCATGTTTTCAAGCATCAAAACAGCAGATAAATGACCAGTCCGTCAGTCAGTTGATTATGAATACAGTGGTCTTGAGTGCTGTTAGAAGTATGAGGGCGGTTGTCAATTCCCGGTTGCCTACATCGTGGAAGGATTCTTCTGGAGGTACCTGAAAAGGAAACTGGATTAGAGATGATCTTAGTGACCTCAGTGCCCAAGGGGCAACTGCTTGAGGTCGGTCACACACGACCTTATTGTGAGTAATTTTCTTGTTAGCTCCGTAATTGTTGAGACCTTACTGCCGGAGACGGAAATCCGTGTGATAAGGCGAGGTGTGTATTTTTAGGGTCTAAATTTTCTAACCCCACCCCTCCTTGTGGGAAGGCAGCACCGCTGTCATGCTGGTTGTCTGAAGGAAACACTTCACTACTGTCACACCTCTGTACAGTCAGCAGTACGACTTCGCCTTCGGACCTTAAATTTGTTGCTTACCGCTCTTCAACCGACCTGTCTGACATGGTAGGACCTTGAGGAACGGTTGTTCCCGCCAGTATAGCTCAGTTGCTTTATCACGATAGGCAAGTCCGACCACCACGTCAAGGAAGCAACAACGGTCGGGAGATAAATGACCATAAGTTTGTCTGATTCAGACTCATAATCCATATGGTTTTGTAGATGAAATACACAAATGGATCACATCACATTTTGTAAATCTCAATAAATAAAAACATTTGTTAATATAAAACTGAGTAACATGTATGGTTAATTGTCTCTTATTTGTGAACTATTTTTTGAAATTTAAATTAACGATACTTCTGTAAACGAACTATTGCTAAGCTTCTGTACTGAAACCTAGTGACTGACGTTTAAAGGTTCATTGAATTCGTGATATATGGTGACTATCATTTACAGCCCCGAAATACCCTGGTATGGTCGAGAGTGGGGAGAATCCCCTCTCCCTCTCGAAATGCTCTCACATGACCACGCGTATATAGCCTCTGACAAGGAAGTCCTACTCATTGCTTTCGCTTGGCGGGGGTGTTGTTTACGAAATTGACAGGACGAAAAGCGAATGTCCGGCACCGGCTTTAACCGGATACCAAACCAATGGTGCACTTGGGCTGGCTTCAGTATCCTGACAGAACAAATGGCGTATGAACCAATCGTTGATCACCGGCTACCATGGGACTGCATCTCCTTACGATGCTCCACTGCCTTGTGGATCAGACCTTTATGTCGGATGCTCCGGGAGAACCCCCTTAAGGAAACCACCTGCTTCGGTTTGGGCACCAGGGTAGTATCACAGCCCTCACACACATCAAATGAGATTTGTGTGGCGCATATATATTTGGTGCCTCCTTGTACCAATATCTACGTGTTAAAATAATAAATAAAAGCAAAATCGGTATTTTAAGCAATTTCACGGTTCACTTTCAACATTCAATTCAGATTTGACGATGACTCCAGTAGATACATTGATGAGTTAAACAAATAAAGTATACCGAATGATTTACTCAAGGGTAAAGAGATGGCAACCTGAAATCAAAAGGAAAGTATCCAATCTGTACCTAAGAATATTTTGCTCACAAGCATCAAATCCATGAGAGATATGTCAGCTAAGATCTCGGAAAGCTGTCCACGAAGATCTACGAGAAAATTCACATTAACACTTAACTGTCTTCTCATGTATGCAACTAATTCAAGAATGTCCTACGAATAAACTGTTGTTCTGGTCCACATTAAACCGCATCCATAATTTTGTTTGCTCTTTCAGAGTACAAAGTTTGTACTCTGTAAACGCGTATCCGAGTACAACCTTTCATGGTTATTAAAACAGGATGTACAGGTCAGTCAATGAATCTATTCTCGAACTTCTTGTTAATTTTGGCCACATGCTTCCACCAGAACTATCGTTGAAGATAATCCATCACATCAAAATATCTTGGTTAATGTGAATTTATGTTGAAAAGTTTTTAGGACTGAGGCTTCAATAACTAATCCATTCAAGCCTTTTCTATGTCATTCAAAACAGATATATCCAATTCCTTATTTTACTATGGTCTTAGTACTCTTGATTTTAAAAGTTGATGTTGGTATTTATTCGCGTATTCTTCACGTCGAATATTATTTTCTAAACTAGTCATATCAATCAATTTCATCATAATACTTCTAATTACTTTAAAGTATAATACATTGTAACTTACATTCAATAATAAAAACTTTAAATAACTTTGTGAATGACCATAAATATCAATAGTTGAAATCATGAGTCAATTGAATCTAGACCACTATGGAAAACCTGGAAGGTCGTTTCATCCTAGTATAGGACTCCTCAGCAGTGCGCATCCACGATCCCGACCCCCGCGGGATTTCAACTATTGAAATTACCAATTCTCCACAAAACCCCTTCTAATAATCATAAATATAATTGTACAGCTTTGGTATAAAACGTAATTGGGAAAAATAGTTTTTCGTCACTGAACTATCTTTACTTTACTTAGATATCAACCAGTTTAGTCTTTCAGTGAGCCAAGTAAATCTTATATGTGTTGGTATGATTTTAACCATTGTATTCTATACAAATTCATTGATTCATTTGAATGGTTTATTTCTTTCTCACAGTTTTATAGATAAAAGTAAGTAATGAAAATCACGTTATTCATAATCATTAAGGTTAAGTGAACAAAATACTTTAGGAGTGTATGTTATGTTCATCTCTTACATATCTATATATTCTTATAGAAACTTTACTTATAC